CATAATATTATTATGTGTAATATTAGAGCACTTTAAAATCAATCCTTTCTATGTGACACTAGTCTGCTAGTGGTCCTTCCAAGTAGGCAAAAAGAATGATAAACTGCACAAATTATTTCCACATTTGCCAAAACTCGACCTCCCCTTTAAGTGGCAACATTTAGTACGACAGGCGATAGAAATGGATGCGCGAACGCGATATGGAATCCCATGAGAACAACTTAGAGAAGAGAATATGGGCATTTAGACCATGCTGTATGGTCGTCATGCAGCTCGGTCATTACTTATTTTGTACATCCCAGTAGCTATCCCCAGATTAATGCATGTACTCCAACATATGATAAGAATTTTTTAGAGGATTTTGTTTAGCCTTGTGTTGTGCAAGAGGTATGAATGACCATATGCATGAATTCAATGTATACCAAATGTGGGGTAAACCACAATATTGCACACAGCTCTCTGCAATATTAACCACAACATACCTAATGTATATACATATATAACATGTCATCACCCTAAGTTTGGTACGCTATACTGCAGTCCCTTACATAAAATTGTTAATTCTATTCTCTTCTCTTTCCAGGGTTCATTCTGAGAATGGTATTATCGAGGCATTTTGCAGTTTGATATGTGACTATTCTATGAACATAGTCTCAATGGAGGCCATTATGTATGACGTATATACGAGTAGTTTTTGCTGTAGTAACATATGGCAGATGTTCTAATTTGACATGTACTAATATACGCACCAGACTATGGGCATCCTGTTACAGTCTAATAGATTATACATTAATTACGTATTACAATTCATAATATATCATTTTGTAAAAGGAATTTTGCAGGTACATCAAACAAAATGCAAGAATACGATCAGAGTGCAATGTGAAAAATAAAATTATTATGACTACTTCGTATATAATGCCAATTCAATTTCCTAGAAAAAGAGGGAGAGACAGACAGGAAGAGAGAGAGAGAGAGAGAGAGAGGCAGAGACAGAGATTGAGAAACAGAGAGAGGGAGCGAGAGGGAGCGAGAGAGAGAGAGAGAGAAATAGGGTGAGACTGAAATGGTTAGAAGAAAGGTATACAGCTAGCTGACTATTTTCTAAATGGGGTTAATAATCACTTTTACATGGATGTATATATATTTTCTTACTTATTTCTCATTAATATTTATTAATGTTTTCTTGTTTTGTGTTCACTGACCTTGACAAAGCAGAGTGGTTTTCTTCATACAGTGTTTGAAGTGAAATTCCACAGTATTAAGTGTAAACAATTGTTAATACATTGTAATATCATAAATATGTCTACAGCGTCCAAAGAAATAATGAAACCAATGACAATGTTACTATGCGATAATAGTTCAACATCTAACGTAGATATTGGTATCGCCTTAATCGTTTCGTCTCTCATTCGCACGCCCAGTAACCATAAAGGAATACAAGAATAATATGATCATAACAGACCCTGTATGAAACGAATATCAATTTATTTCTTCTCTCCATTAAACTAGCAAAGCCTAATTTGTATTGACGGTCACTTAAAACTTGCTACCATGTCCACTTTGTATGGACAACCTTCTACCACACTTTGCATCAAATATAACCAGTTTCATTTCGGAAATTACTTTCAGTTTTGCCGGGACAATAACATTATTATCAGCTAAATGGAAGCATAAAGGTTGTTAATCACTTTGACATTCCTACAGATCATTGCTGGTGGCAATTTCACCTAAGCAATGATTGCCATTTTAGTTACCATTAGGCAAGCCTCGAAATATCATTCCCATTCTAAATATAGAAACACCAGGTCTGCAGTTCCGTCGAAAATTGACAGATTGAAGTGTGCTTCTGATAATAAAAAATACAATTGCAAAATTGACGAGTGTTTATCCGAAAATGATGATAAGGGGAGATTTACTGCAATCATGTACTAAATGAACTGTGGTTGTACACATTCTACTTTAACATCTAACTTAGATATTGTAACGCGTGCGTATAATATTCATTTCATTTCCTCGACATTGTCTCACTAAACATCCGATAAATGTAAACAAATACACGTAACTGCATGGACATATAATACTCAATGTTTGAAAGGAAATATGTTTGAAGATTAATTAAAGTCGTCCGGTGCATCTTAGGATTTTGTTAACTGCTCACTTCAAATGTTTCATTTGTCTGAAAATGATTGTAAACCCACACTACTATTTCTCTATTTGAATGTTTATATCAAAAGTAAAACATATGAAACTGTCCTTCATTATTCCCAGTTTCAAGTTATAGACACACAAAAGGCTTTACTACTAAACCTACACAAAGAAAAAGCATATTATCTTGTCTCCATTTAAAGGCATGATTACTATACTTTGTTCCTGCTTAAAATTCAACATGCTACGCTAAGGAAACATATAGATTCTTGCAAAAAATATGCCAAGATACTAAATACGAAAATGGATAGGCCTTTAATACATCTTAAACTTATGATGACTGATACTGTGTTGATTAGAGAGTTTCTGGCCACTGGACTTCAGCAATCTTTATGATGAAGGCCTTCACTTGCAATTATCTGATAATCGATGATTCACCCGAAACCTCATATTTTGGGCAAATAATCGGAGCTTGGACCCATGAAATCCAACCCAAGGTCTGGCTCTTTCTTCCACCAATGTCCGCGGGGAGCAATTGATCAATTTGGCTCTCAGTGTGGGTTTTCCGCTTCAAGTCTTCAAGTAGGTACGGTGGTGTAGCAACGGGGGCAAAAAGGGGCACGCCCCCCCCCCCCCAAAAAAAAAAAAAAAAAAAAAAAATCGAATGACGATAAGGGGGATAGAAGGAAAGGGGGGAAAGAGTAAAGGAGAGAGGGAAATGAACATAAAGTAGAACATAACTATAATTACGACCCCTTCCACATCCCCAATGATCATCTTGTTATTTTGTTTTTCATCGAGTTAGCCCCCCCCCCCCCCCCCCCTATGATGCCAGTACCCCCTACATTTCTGGACTCATCTCACACCACTGGGTGGGCAGACATAACAAATGAGAGGGAACAGCACCTAGGATGAAAGACGATTAAGAAATGCTTTCAATACAGCCATCTAAATTAAAGAACCTCCGTTCGGCTGTAGGATACAACGCACATTGTAGACAACAAAACATACAGGCAGCTTTTCCCTGTATTACGCCTATTCAATGCATATACCGCAGCAATATAGTTGACATGTTTAACGCTTGTTTAACCCAGAGAGATTAATCAGTTTATGAAATTAAAATACATGGTACAGGTAGACAGAGAAGGTGGAATAAAAGGGCGATTGAGAGGAAGCTCAGAGAGATGTTTCCGATGACTCTTAAACTGTCTTGAACTACTTCTAACAACAGATGTGGAGTTAAGTGTGAAATTAAAGTAAACTATTATGATGTAAGTTATGCAAATGCTCGTAAATACACCTTAGTATTTGTTAGATTTTTGTATAATTATATCCATCCCCGTTCCATCGACTTTAACGCAATCTCCCTGTTATGTAAACTCGAGTAGTCAATAGCATCATACACTCATGCACTCATTGAATTTTGAAGTTTAATCCCTTTTGAGTAAGGTTCACATCACAGATGTTATTCTTAGATAGATACCATGATTAAATGCACACATCTAACAGAGTGCTGCTGCAAACAGCTAATGGCTATGATAGTGATAACATTCTATGAAAAAACTTAGTCTAGACATTTCTTAAAACCTTGGTGTAAATGTTTAGAAAATGAAAACGACAGTTAACCAGTACATCTCTTAAAATTATTTCCATCCGAGGATAAATTCTCATAAAAAGTTTGATATTTTCGAAAGACATCCAGCATGTCGATATGTACTGCAATAGTGAAAAAGTCACGTATTTAATGTTTACACCGATGTTGTTGATATTAACAAAGAACATTCGTCTCAGATTTTTCAGAGATTTTTTTCTTCACCTTATTAGTATTAAAAACTATGAAGACCAAACTACATATTACATGTGTAGTATATCTGGGTTTATTTTCAATCTTGAGTGTTCCAGCTTAGCACTCGAGTTGGAGCAAACTCGAACTGCAATTCGAATTGAATGTATAGGATTAATTAAACTGCACATTTCTTCACTCTCGTATCATATAGCATTAAAAACAACATCAAATCTCCATTCCTTCACCGAAAGCTCTGTTTTGTCAGCATTACAGCTCATCTATTAATTGCATCATGAAAACACATTCACATGATTTCATCGCAGACAATCATGTTCATTGCACTATTTTGTCGGGTACGTTGCGTCGTGCATGTCTCAATACGTGTGAGTGCAGAGCGGCTGCTTTAATTAATCCGAGTCTCGTTTTTATCTTCTGAATAACGGGCGCTAAAGGTTAGCGCAACACTTGTATCGCAATTTAAGACTGTCTCATTTCATGCTAACCCAGGATAGTGTGATAATGTCTCGGTGTGAAAGACACCTCTTTATATCACCGCCTGGTTACATGGAAACGTTTCTTTATAACAGGAGACATGCATGACACGAGCATAAAAAGAACTTTCACCACCAGCTATTCAATGTATGTCCTAAAACGGTTATCATGTTATGTAAGTATATGAACAAATCACCTCCTTGTCCCTTTTCTAATTGTGCTCTCTTTCTCTATCTCTCTCTCTCTCGCTCTCTCTCTCTCTCTCTCCCTCTCTCATCCTCCCTCTCTCCTCTCTCTCTCTCTCTCTCTCCCCCTCTCTCTCTCTCTCTTTCTCTCTTTATCCATCTCTTTCTCTCTTATGTTTACAAGGCACGGAATTCTGTTACTGGGCATTTCGATGCACAAACCCCGAATATTTGCATGGTTGTTTCATGATCTCTCCCCCCCCCAAAAAAAAAAAGGTGTTATACCACACTTTTGTTAAATGTACAACATGGAGGTATTTACAGAGTTTGCCTCAAAAATATCTCCTTTTTAATACAATTATTGCCACAAAATATAAATAAATATTTACCTTATATTCTCTTCTTTTACTCATCATAAGTTCGTCTGGCACGGTATTGGACCGCTCTCTGTAAAGACAAAAAAAAAGGATGGGACTTATATTAGAAACTGAACAAATTTGCTGCAGAAGAAAACAATATATCGTTGATTAATGTGTTACAAAACATAGTCAAATCTAGAGTTTATAAAGCCTGCTTTTAACGAGATGATGAAATTTGTTATAGTTATATTTCATACGTGGTAGATGACCTATTCTAAAGTATATATGTATTATGGTTAGGATACATTTCGTATCTTTGGTAGATATTGTCATTTGCATTGAAAGATTACCAATATGTTTTCCTTTTTCTTCTTAAAAACCCCCTCACCTTCCGCAAAAAAAGAACAAAAAATGCACTTTCAACATTATTCTGTCAAAATAATCCATTTTAGAAGAGCATTGGCAGCATGTAATGATCACAGTTTAAATTATTATTAATTACCTTCAGGAAACAGCACGTTTGAAACGAAAATATCTTTATCACGTTAAGATACGGTTGAGTCAACTAGCAGCCTAAATTTGATTTTGAGCTCGAAAGTTATGATTGTGAAATATTATACCCAAGTCTCACCGACAAGACCGATAGCAGACCGACCCCCAAAAATAAAGTTCCCCCTATGGCAAAGAAATAAGTCGGTTTTGGGTCGGTCTGGCAGTGTGACTTGGGTAGAATTCTCCGAATTCACACATTTATGTTTACTGACTAGATAATCAAAAGTTGATTAGCTTTTAAAAATCAAACAAAGCGGTTGAATAACCAAATCATCTGTGTGCTTACCCAGGCTTTGGAATGGATTTGATGAGTTAAATATTGGCCGATTATACTCCCAGCAGGGCGCTTTTTTGTTATTCTTCTTTTTTGTTTGGCTCGTTTGATTTCGAGTGAGTTTATTCATCGCTTTCACACCTCATGAATCAACCAGTCAGCTGAATGGGAAAACTGTTGGCATTTTTTCACCGTTTATTGGTCTCGGATATCAATGGTTTTGTTTTAATCTCGGGAGAAAATGAAAACGGTGGAAATTGAGAGTGAGAGAGTGAGGTTGGTTGCCTGAGAGGGAGACAGAGAAAGGGATGTGTAGAGAGACAGAGAGGGGGAAATATGATAGGAGAAGAGATGAAGAGACGGAGATAGAAAGAATGGGCTTATTTCATAGGCCCTTGATTGAGCAAACATCGAGAGGAAATTGATCAGGCAATGTACTTTGGGGAAATATTCTTCAACGTCACCGATCTCTGATCAATATTTGATGCTGTGCAAACAGGAAAGGTGACGAAATGACCTGCTTTCGGATTTTGATCCGAATTCCGACCATCGATTGAAAAATTCTTCAAAGGTAATTGATTATTCCCGTGCTTTAGAAAGTGCCTCTAAGCGTTGCGATAAACATGAAAAATAAAACTGCGTTTCAACATCGATTGAAGAAAAGCTTTTTACATGTTAAATTGCGTTATTTATTAGCATCTTGATAAACATGAGCAGGAGATATGAAAACTGCATTTTACCATGTATTGAAGATGCTTCAAAGCCAATTATTTTGAACGTGATTAGAATAATAAAAAAACAGCATATGACTATAGTTTGTAAAATCTTCGATGGCAACTTTTTGTTGTTTTAAAACATTGTGATAGACATGATCACATAATTAGAAAACTGGATCAGACCATCGACTGAACAGAAAATTTCAAAGGTAATTCTACCTTCGTTTAAGGGAATGATTAAAGCATTTTGATAAACATGATCGGATTATTCTTCATGAAAACTGCATTTAACTATCGATTTTAAAATTCTTCAAAGGCGATTCTGCTCCTGCAAAATCCCTATAAGCAATGTGGTAGACATGAACAAAAATTAATATGAAAACTGCCCGAGGGTCCTCAGCTCTTAAGCTACAATAAAGAGTTCGTTGGACTTCATTTCTGGATAAAAAAAACAAAGACTGCTCTAGGAGAAAAGATCATTTTCCTCGGATGAACTCCTGAAGTTTTGGATTTTGGATGAGTTAGCAATTCCTCTTTCTGTATTTCCCAATGTAAATCGTTTGCTGCGAAAAGTAGGCCAGTCAATTTGGGGGCAAATTGAGCGATTATTCTGAAATGCTCGGACAGTAAAAGGAGTCTGCTGGGAGGAAGTTTTGCTCAAGAAAATCAGACGTTGACCTGTGATATGAAATAAGCCGAAAAGAATTGTTTTGATTCAAGAATTGAACTTCCAGATCCTAGACAACAGTTTGTGAAATATATTTTAAACTCTGAGAACAATCTTGAACAATTTCACATAAAAGTTCTTGACGAAGAAGTATTGTCTTTTGCGGCTTTCCATATGATACGACCATGATAACAAATTTTAAATAAAATTATCTAACGCAATATGAAACGTTGAGAATGTACTTTGAATGGGCAACACTTAAATTCATTTGATTTCTCGTTCTATCCATTTTCCCTTCCAGCATTGCAAAAACAAGTTGGATATTCCCCAGCTATTCCTTTTTTTTTTTAAATCAAGCATTGTCTAAGGAAGAGAGAGAGAGAAAAAGAGAGAGAGAGAGGGGGGAGAGAGAGAGAGAGAGAGAGAGAGAGAGAGAGAGAGAAAGAGAGAGGGGAGAGGGGAGAGAGAGCTTAAAAGGTTTCCTCGTGGAAATGTCTTTTGGGGTTATGTTAATGAAACGCGATTCACGCATTTTTGTTCCATATATTCGTCTACTCTTTTACTTTGTAGATCAAAAGACAAAAACAAGGGGGGGGGGGGTTAGCGGCTATAAAAACAGAATGTCCCAAAAATGTAGTCAATAAATGAAAAACTTAACAACTTTCAACGGAGACCGCGTCACAGCTTTAATGAAGATAACAAAAGAGGTGGGAGAGTAAAGAGCGCTATCACAGCTCACCCCATTCCCACCTTAATGGAATTGCTTCTCTCGTGATCGTCAGCTCGTTAGGATGTTCAAACGATCATCTATCAGCAAAGAGCTCTATTGTGTTATGACACAAAGTGAGCCTCGTATTTGATCTCCATCATGATAATAGAAAATCGGTGATGATGGGAAAAGCTGGAGAGGAAAAAAAATCAATTTCAATGATTGTCTAGGCGTCACAATACCCCGGGCACACCAATGCGACCGATAACAGACCGACAACGGACCGTTAACAGACCGACAACAGACCGGCAACAGACCGGCAACTGACCGGCAACAGACCGGCAACAGACCGACAACAGACCGGTAACAGACCGGTAACAGACCTGCAACAGACCGGCAACAGACCGACAACAGACCGGCAACAGACCGACAACAGACCGGTAAAAGACCGGTAAAAGACCGGCAACAGACCGACAACAGACCGGCAACAGACCGACAACAGACCGGCAACAGACCGACAACAGACTGGCAACAGACCGGCAACAGACCGGCAACAGACCGGTAACAGACCGGCGACAGACCGGCAACAGACCGGCAACAGACCGAACGGAATATGACATTATCCCCAAAGGGTGAATATAGTATCGACAACGGATGTTTTGAAGCTGCCACAGTAATATGACTGGGGCATTAAGGGGAAGATGGTGGAAAGGAGGAATGCATCCCGGGCAGGCCATAGCAACCAACGTCCCGATATCAATGTGAGAGGAGGAGTGGTAAAAGCGTCGTTCTGTATTCGAGCTCTTAGGCTCATTTGATTCCTAAACATGATAACACCCAAGCCACACAGACAAGACTATGACCAGGCTGACTATATAGACCGAACAAAATATTGCATCCCCCCCCCCCCCCCGAAGGGCTTAGATGCTGTCGGTTATCGGTCATTTAGGAGTCGATTTGGTTATTATTGTGACTGGGCTATCAAGGAAGAGATGGAGAAAGAGGCGGAATGCATCCCGGGGAGACCATAGCAACCAACATCCCGAGAGCAATGGGAGAGGAGGAGAAGTAGAAACGTCCTTTAGGAGACGATCTCTTCGGCTAAATTCGTTCTAAACATGATAAATGTGTGCTTTCTATGTCAAGAGGCCCATTGCCGTCTCAATTGAACGAGAAACCACTCTCGTATTACAGCCTCAAGTATGGGACTCGCATAGCAACCGTCGGATGACTCGGCCATAACCATTTCACAAGATTAATGGTTTTAAAAGCGTGGCATAAGAATAAGAATGTCAGCTGCGAACTGAAGTGAACATAAATATACATGTAGTTCGTCATTTGAATTGTAATATGAGAACATTTACATGTTTAAAATGGACTACTGGTAGTGACGTTCACATCGAGTGCTCCATTCTAGATAAAATGCATAATCAGAAAAGAGTATCGCTTACAAGAAAACACCTGTGTTACAGTCGGCATAATTCCATCCATAATACCAGGCTTCACTTTGATACGCTTGCATTCCTTCTCACTTTTTTTAGCATGTTAATGAAATTGATGGCTCTTTTACGGATATAAGAATTATTTTAAAAAAAATGTTTAACTCTTTAAAGTTATGCTTTTTACGATACAACATAGCTCATCCAAATTAGCCACTTATTTGGGTGATACCAAATCGCTAAATTTATCACCAGAAATGGAAACAGAAAGGCCGCATTCTGAGAGCAGGTTCAACTCAACCCTTAACCCTGGTTTAACTAAACAACACTTCTTACTCACCTCGGCACTCAATGTGTTTTTTTAAGTCTGTTTTGTATTCTGATAGCCAACTTTCCTTAAAGTCAGCTTTCAATTTTATTTAGAATTTTCATTTGGTTAAAATGACAAGCAACATTAGCGGGTTACTTCTGTATGATTCAATGTTTACTTTTAGTGATTAATTTTTTAATGTAAAAAATGATGCATTTATAGGAGCCAACCTAGACTAATACATAGCTTTCAATGACGAGCAGGAATTCGTGATTACCAATTTAATTGAATCCATATGTTATCAAAATCTTTTGTCAGGGCTTACATTAATTTAATGCCACACACCACAGTAACATATAATGCAGGTACTCAGATTTCTCTAGTGTAATTCTATTCATAGGTATTCAATAAGCACTGTTAA